CGACATTTATTTAGCAAATCTATATATATATAATTGCTGGCTCATGAGCATTTAATAAAACCTGTTAAATTATACCTATGTGGCAATATAATTTTTTCCCTCCAAAAACCATTACTTTTTATTTATTTACCTCTCACTTAATTATTAAATAATCAATACACTAATCACTTCAAAATTACAAAAATTATTTTAAATTTTTCATTTACTTACAGCTGACCTTATAATGTGTTGACTATTTAACGTGATTAAATATTATTGTTGTGGTTACATTTAAATTAACTTCTTTTAGAAAATAAAAACGTATTTGAAATTCCTAAATAAATAATAAATAATTCATAAAAAAGTTACATACCAAAATATACATTACTCAATATGATAAACGGAATTTTAAAAAAAATAATTATTTCAGCTCCTTTAAATTTGGCAAAAATTATCATTATATGCATACAAATAACTTACAATACTTTATTTATAAATCTGTGCAAATGCACAGGTCGAATACTGGTAGTTGATAAAGCTAGAATGATATTTAAAAAGAATAGGAGGGAGTATAAATGTTCGTGCATTGCAAGTGATTTACAAGGATGCTATTTAGAAAAAGAGTGAACTATAATTTTAGTCTTGTATGTTTTACTATTTTAATTTTTTCGTCTTTACATAAAGAACAAAATTGAGACACTTTTTTGCAAAACATAAAGAATATTTTTGTTGCGAAAATGACATTTTCGTAACTTTTTTTTTTCAAACATACGGGACAAAAATAAAAAAAACACAATTCGAAGAGGACGAAAATATTAAAGTAGTGAAACATACAAGACTAAAATTATAATTTATTTTTAAAAAATTACACCTAAGTTTATAAAAAAAAAAGGGGAGATAATTTTTTTTTTTTATTTTTCAACATTTTATTTAATATTTGCATTGTGTTTATATTTAAATATGTCACTTGTACAACTTAACTGACTTATATTTAGTAATATTTTAATGCGTATTCTATAATAATTTTTTATATACAATTATTAAATTAATACATAATTTTTTTTATTAATATTAAAAAATTAATTTTTATTATAAAGATAAATATAACTTTTACTTATATAAAATATGCGGTTTTGCTATGGAACCAACGGTTGGCTCCATAGTTGAGCCAACTTTTTATATACAACAAATAAATCTACCATATTGTATGATTATTTAAATAACATTAATATAATTATTAGTATGGTAGTTTTATTTGTTGTTTATAGAAGGTTGACTCTACTATGGAGCCAACTGTTGGCTTAATAGCAAAACCGATAAAATATGAATGTCAAATCAACTCAATTAAAAGATAATTAATTTGATATACCATCTATGAAAACTGATACAAATAAAAAAAAAACTATTTAAACTTTAAAAATTTGTATGCATAATTTATGTTATTTAAATAATTTTAAAAGTTACAAGTTAAGATCTACATGGAGCAGTCCGAAGTTACACAAAAAATTGACACTCATAATTACAAAGCACCAAATTCAATGCATAAAATTACGGAATACCAAATTAACACACAAATACAAAGTACCAAAGTTGATACTCACATCTCTAAAACTCTCCCTTAATATAAGGGAAGGGATACATAATTTATATTCTTTAAATAAAAATCATAACCCAAGTAATTAATTCATTTTTGTTATGAAATTGAAAAGTATGACACTGTTTTTTTTTTTTCGATTTAACTAACTATATCATTTATTTTCTTCATTCAAATTATGACGACTTGACTTACCTTTCTTTGATTGACCAGTTAAATACACGGATGCCACTCTTTATGAACGCAATTCACCAAGAAATTAACATTGATAGTATTCTCACGACAATTTCATTAGAATTACTATTTCACATGTTCATTTGCATAAATATAAATTAATGTGTGGCCCGTGCGATGCACGGAAAAACAATATTACAATTGTGTTATAAATTAAATATATAAATAAATTAATTAAGATTTTGTTATTGTGTATATTTGTGTAATTATTATATTAGCTTTAGGTTCTCTTTAGGTAACTGTAGCCCTAATTTTGTGTATATATATTCATGGTTAATAGAATATTGAATCATCCGATTGAGATGATCAATTCCCAAATTCCATCTCGTTTGTTTCTTATCATGGTATCAGAGAACTGATATTTTTCGGATCAATTTTTTTTTTTATCTGTCTAGTTTGATTGCCTTCGCCGTCTCGGCTTCATCCATATATTTTATCTATTGTTCTTCATCTCTGTTTCTGTTAAATTTACTGTTCTAGTTCGATCAACCGAAAAAAAAAATATCAATTGTTGTCCATCTTAGAGAATAACGAAGGCCCAGATCATCATCTTGTGAAAAGATCCCATTTTCTTTTGTTGGGGTTCGCTGCTATCCAAAAAAAAAAAATCACTTCCACAAATCATTTGGGTGACTTATTTGTGCGCACACATTGTTTGCGAATTGTTGTCCAATTGTTTGTGAGCCTTGTTGTGAGTTCTCATCTCCTATCTCCATTGAAGATTCCATCGTGAAAAAAAAAAGTTACTCTTCCATGGCAGATTCTTCCAGTGGTGGAGCTCGCGCGAGTGCGGCGTTCTCCAGTGGTACTAATGATTCGTTTGTTGTCGGTTCTGTTGGCTCTTCCGCTACTAGTGGAGTTTTGAATCCCTTGTCTGGTGCGGGTGGTTTATTTGATTGGATGTATGACTCTGGGGCAAC